GAGGCAGTGAAATCTCCTGCAGATTTCATGACAAACATCTGTCAGAAACGGTCTTGGCAAGTGGGAGATTTGGCATCCAAGTGAGGGGATTGTCTAAACCCCCTTTGAAGTCCTGTTCTAGTTTGCTTTCCTGTGCCTATAAATTTTTTGTGCATGTATTTTGCTTGCACATGGTAAGAAATATGATGGTCTAAAAGTTGGTGATATGAAGGTGTGCCTTTGGATAGCTTCAATATTGATGTGTTCAACACCTGATGTGTTTCCTCATCTGGTATTGAAGCCATCAGGGGACAAGGTGACCAGGCAGGAGCCTCCTGGTGTCTTAACAAGCCCTGGAGCTCTTTGCGCCAGCTCCTGAGCCACCAGAGCCCTTAAGGCTGGGTGCCAACAGGTCCCTTAAGGCAGTTCAAAGTGTTTTTTTAAAGCCATCCTCTGCTTTCTCATGTGCTCCCTACAGCCTAGTGTAACAGAATGGGTCTCTGGAGTATGAGAAACAGAGCTACTGCAGGTTTTGCTGTACTGAAAGAAACCCAAAATGTTTCATTTCTTCTTGTAGGAGTGTGTGATTTGAGAAGATGAGGATGGAGGGGACTCAGATGCATAATGCTGAAGATGTGTGGGGTTTTTTCACCTCCATTAGGCTTCAGTGGCTCTGTGACTTGCTAACAGCAGAATGCCAATGCAAACTGCTTTTTATCTTGCTGTGGGATGGGAATAGGGGAAGATCAGTACTTATGTTGCTTTGACACTCCAGATGATTCTTTGAGGCTCTGAAAAGGTCAATGACAAACAAATGCTGCTGGTTTGGTTTCACTTGAAGCTTCTTCAGAATTTGAACAGGGTAAGTCAACAAAACAACATATGTTTTACATAAAAATTATGTTGCTCATAATAGTTTATTTTTAATAAGAAAAATTACCCATTCAGGAAAAATTTTTGACATTGTCATGCCTTCTAAAATTTTGCTAAAAAAATTCTAATTTTCTCAATTTATTGTTTTGTGAATATTTATCATTCCCTCCCCCAGCTTCTCTGTTCCTTCATATTGTATATCTGAAAAGCAGGGACTTTTCAGACCCTGCAATGGCTGGTGTGAAAGCACATGTGCACATAGGTAGTGATTATAAGGATGCCACCTAATCCACTTGGTCCTTTAACTGGTGGGTTTTGGTCATGTTTTTAACCTTTCAACTCCTCTCTTATATATTGTTTCTGTTATTACTCCTGGTGTAGAGCTGGATTACATTCTTTTTTTTCTGTTTTTTTTCTGTTGGAGGGTTACTGGCCAAGGAAAATGTATCTTTTGCTCCAGTGGATGTTATTTCCTTTGATGACAGCACCTCTGTGTCATTTGGTCTGATCAGCCCAGAGAAGAGGAGACTGAGGGGAGACCTCATTGCAGTCTGCAGCTTCTTCATGAGGGGAAGGGGAGGGGCAGGCACTGATCTCTGTGCTGACCATAGGGAATGGCCTGAAGCTGTGTCAGGGATGTTTATGTTGAATATTAGGAAAAGGTTCCTCACCCAGAGCGTGTTTGAACACTGGAACAGGCTCCCCAGGGAAGTGGCAAGGGGCACCAAACCTACCAGAGCTCAAGAAGTGTTTGGAAAATGTTCTCAGGCTCATGGTGTCACTCTTAGGAATGGCATCATGCAGGGCTGGGAGTTGGTCTTGATGACCCTTGTGCCTTCCAGCTCAGATTATTCTGTGAATTTGTAATCCTGAAATTCTCTCTCAGTCCTCCTGGATCTGACCCTGGCTTTGTCTTTCCCTGATTCCTCAAGAGCTGTGTTTAGACTTACCTCTATCAAAAGAGCAGTTACCCTGAATGACACATGACAGTGGCACCTCACCATTTCTCTGTAGCTGTATGAGACAGGATTCAGAAACTCAGACCTGAGTCACCTGCATCATCCCAACTTTTGAAATGTCCTGTCAGTCAGGGTGCTTTAAAACCTCACTGTCAGGTACTTGGGAGAGTACCCAGCAATACAAAGCGGTTTTGTGGGGGCTTTTTGGTTGGTTTTTTTTCCTGTATTTTGTCTTTGCAGTCAGACTTTTTTACTATGCTTTCTTCTTTCCAATAGCTTTGTTAGCCTTGTTTTGTGCTGAAATTCCCACTTGGCACTAGTGGGTTTAGTTTTTCTGTGCTGCTCTGTGGCCTCTTGCTGTTACAAAATAAGGTTACAAAACTTGCTCTCAGTTTCCTGGCCACAGCTGATTCCTGCAGGCTGCCAGCAGACCACTTTTCCCGACCAGAGCTCTAATCCACTGCAGCAGTATTGCTTCCTGACACAAAGAGAGAGTATTCAAATTCTGATATTTCCTCACAAGATCTGTTTGAGATTTCAGAAATCTGTCAAATCTTTGCTTTACTGCAAAACCTCTTTGTTAATGCATGACGTGCATGTGGTTTGCTTTAAGCTGAGTATTCAGAACTACTGAGTACACACATTCCTCTATTTAACGATGCCAAATCTTAAATTTGGTGAGATTACTGCTAAGTCACCATGGAATGAAATCCTGTCTTGCACATACATCCTGGCATCATCTACATGGAGTAAAATATAATGTCTCAGAGTAGGTTTTCTTGTAAGATATCCAGGCTTAGACTTTAAATTGTTTCAGTTTGTAGAGCCTTGTTCTGGACAGAGCCTTACTGGTTGCCCTAAAGCTCTCAGCAGCAGCAGTTCTCAAAGGCACAAATCTCAGTTCCTCTCCTGGCTCTGCAGGCTGCATAAAATGTGTTTGCCTGAACATGCTTGTGGTTGACTTTTATACAGTATTTAATAAAACTTATGCCATCCACCCAAAGGTGAGTAGAAGGGATTCCTGCATTCTAAATATGGCCATGGAAATCCTTATCCCAGTATCTCTCTGAGTGTGTATCCTTTATCTCTTGGTGGATGCCATAGCCTGACTTTATTTAGGCCCTGATCCTACACTCCATGTTCATTCAAGCTGTTCTGTAAGGCTATGGTGTTTTATGACAAATGCTTTCCTTTTGATCAGTTTTACTCTTCCAAGTATCTCTTCTGTGGTCTATGACTTTCACTGTATTTCTTCACTTTGCTTTAACTGTGTGAAGGCACCTGCACTTTTGATAAATGTGCACAAAGTCCATACAGTTGGCTGCTCCTGCTGGTTGCTTAATTTGTTTCACAGTTTCTCATCCAGGTACTTCTCAGTTGCTTGTGTTTTTAAGAATTTCCTCAGTCTTTTTTTCAGTCTTGGTCTTGGTGACCTTAGTCCTGGTGGACTCCAGGTCGTTGCTCTTTATTCTGCCATTATCTGGCAGCTGGTGTGGGTTTGTCAGCCTGGTCTCCCCTTGCCACGTCACACATAACAGGCCAGATGTGAAATCTAACTGACCCCCACAGATTGTGCAATGTTTTCTCATTCTTCCACTCTTCTTCTGGAAGAGCCCTCGATGGAATCTGGATTTTCAGTAAGTATCTCTCTCTTTCAATGGGGATTGCTCGCCTGAGGTCTGTGGACCCTTTACTGTACACATTGTCCATTGTTTTATTTTGGTTTACAGGACCTTGCAGACTAGTTCTGCTTGCTTTCCCAGTCTCTCCAGTAAAATAGATTGTGTCATGTCTCTTTTAAGTGAGGGGTTTATGACTAATTTCTATAACATTTCATTAGGTATGACCATAGCAAATATTGCCTCTTTTAAGCACAAATAAATCTCTAATTCTGTTCTGCTCTGTCTCAGGACCAAAGCTGAACTTACTGGAATGCTGCAGCCTTGAAGGGCTTTGTTTCCACATGCACACAGAGTCCTAGTATTTCTCCAGACTCCTTCCTCCAGCACCTACTTCTTTTCCCAGTTTCCATGCAGAGGCTTAACCTGTCCTGCTCACTTTCAGCCAATGACTTCTATAGCGGATGTAAATGAACCCTTTCCTAAAGAATGTTCTCTGTGTGTTTTATGTAAAATAAAATCTGTAATAACCTCTTACATCAGGAATACAGGAGCCTCCTGTGGGAAGTGAAGAATCAAAGTTACCCGGAGCTCTGAATTGTCACTTCATTTGAACATGATAATGCCAGCTTCTCAGTCTTTTCTTCTGAATTCAGTGTATCCTTCCACCCACCCTCTTGTCCCTCAAAAGATGTCTCTGTGCCATTTATTTCCTCTTTCTTTTTATTTCTCTTTCAAATCTCAGTGGTGAGAATAAAAACAAAGTTTTTTTTTAAAAAAAGAATATTTTCCAACAATTACACTTGGGCTTGAGTTTGTCTCATTTAATTTGCATTTCAATCCCAGAAAACTCCTGTGACTTCAGATGTCACTTGTGATTTTGCTTAAATCTGAGCACAGATTTAAACGCCTTCTCAGAAAATCCAGTTTTAAATGAGATGTGTGTATTGACTGCCTAGAAGAGACATAGGTTCAAGAAAAGTACTCAGAGATGCAGACATGCCTGTGAAGGAACTTCTTGCAGCAGGCCCCAGAGCCCAAGTGAGGAACCCCTGTGGTCAGAAGGACACTGTTTAAGTGGGGGGTTTCCCACAAAACATTTTATGCAGGATTAAGGCCTACATAAAGAGCAGGATGTTTTTTTCTGCATTTATGTCTAATGGCAAAATTTTCCCACCAATGATTTCAGAGAGTGAACAAAGTATGCACTTGCTGCCTCTTGGCTGACTGGAGACATGGGAATGGATGTTGATATCTGGGAGACTATCTGGGATGCTCCCTAACCTGAATTGCTCCCTGACTCCTGTGTGATCAGAAACAACGAAGATCTTCTCTGCTGGTGCTCCAGTGGTATCTAAATTACTGAAACTGCACAGGATGGTTTAAATTATCTCTGAACAATAGAGCCTATTCAGGCTTTTGGTGAATCCACTAAATCCTTTAAGTCTGGTTATAAGGAGGCTATATTTGTAAATGAGTTGATGTTCCTGCTATTTTTGAAATGTTAATAACTGAAAATACTTTATAAGACTTTATTTTACTGCAGGATTGTGGGGATTTTGCTCCAATTATCAACTCTCCATTAAATACTTTTCCTAAAATTGTTTGCCTTATTCTACTTTCATGCTAATGAAATAAAATCTCAGAAGTACCAGTATCTGCTAAAGTGGCAGATATATATTGGTGGAACAAAGTCTGACATTATGCTGGACAGAATATGAATTCCTGACTGGACTTCGTGTACTTCTGTTGCTCTGCAGGCTGCAGTGTGAGTGACTGACTTAGTGGTATGAAAGGTAAGAAATGGGAAGGCTTCCTTGAACTATGGGTTCATTTCCTTAGCCTCTCTCCTAGCTGAAGTGTAAGAAATGGGTACCACATGTTACAGAAAAGTGGGATCCTGTTCAGCACAAGTATTGTCCCACTGATAATGTCAACATCTTATTGAAGGAAACTAACCAGTGTGAAAGGCAGTGGCTATGTGTCAATTTAACACAGGAAATCTTAGAAGTCAAGAGCACACAGCGAAGTAAAGGATATTTACATACAATGGATAATTCCTCATGCAAATTGCCAGCCTGCCATTTGAATAATTGCTTTAATGTGCAATTATTTGAGTAATTTTAACTGAATTGAAAATAAAATGTTTAAATTTTTTTTCCCTGGTCTTTTTGTCCTGTTTAATGGACAGCTGAAAATGTGGATAGCTGTGCTGTTGTTGTCCTTTGCCCCAAAGCTGACTATGTTTCTGCTCTGGTTAGTTATATTTCGATAATGCAGAGCCTGAAGGATATCAGACTGGTACTTAGGCCAGCTAGTTCGTATAGCAGTGGAAAAGAGTAGCAACAATTGTCCTCCTTTTAAGTCTTTTGTTAGAGAAACCTATTGTGTCTGGTGTGAGAGCAGGAACATGAAGTGAGAGCCCACAGTGGATATGAAACAGAGCCCAGAAGACTTGGGAGAACCAACCAAATGTCAAAGGTTCTTCATACACTTGTGATTTCACTGAGTTAGAAATATATTTTAGACCACTAGAACACCCACTGCTTTCTGTCATGCTTTGAGCATGACCTGAAAACCATTACCTCCAATGTGAAGGACTCCCAGATGCTTCTGAGGAGGTTCCACTTTCTCTTTTACTCTTCCTTCATTTATTGTTGCTGCTCTGAGAAGACAGTCTTTCAAAGTGCAGGTTTCATCACTCCTATTGTAACCACAGTGGGAGGTTTTTAGTGGTTGGTGCTGCTGAAATCATCAGGCTGTTTGAGAAGACCTTGGAGCTCTTTGCAGCTGTGGGCAGAAAGCAGCTGCTGCTGCAGAGGGTAGGGATGGATGGATGCTCCTGCCCAGCAGCTGGCTGCAGTGGCTGCCAATATTGCTGTAAATTCTTACTCTGCCAGCAAAGCCTCCTTCTGGAGATGTGGCTTATGTCAGCAAAATTTGTTCTGAGATGTACTTGTCACCTCCATAAATACATTTGCTATGCTACTATTATGGCATAGATTTGGGAAGAGGGAGAGATTATATTTACAAGTGAGGGTTTGCTGGTATAAATGTATTGGGTTGAAGTGGTGAATGTTTTTGCACTCCTAAGTGAGGGAATTAAGCTGGCAAAAGCACAATGTCACTGTCAGAAGCAGAAGGCATTGGTAGTGCAGGAATTTTGATTTCAGGACTGGAAATAAATATACATACATATGAGCACATATGTACATACATGTAGATATATTTTATAGTATTGGTATGTGTAAAAACACTTTATGTAATATATATATGTATATGTTCTAAACAATAGCTATGCCAAAGTTCATCTTTTGCTGTGACTTTCTTGAAATCATCCAGAAATACCAACCTATCATGAAAGCAGAGAAAGTGGCATACAACATTAATATAAGTTATATGTAGATATACAGGTTCATATCGTGTCTAAATCCTGGAGGTGCAGTTAAGCACTGTGGTCATGCTCCACAGGTTAAGCACAAAGACAAAACTATTGTCTGCAAGAGCAAATGCTGAGCCTAGCCCCATTCTTGATAGAAAGGATAGCAAGGACAGTTAATTTTTTTCTTAGTTGAAATTAGCCAACTGGGTCATTTCATATCCAGATACCAAAGAAAGGGAAAACAAATCAGAATTTTTTGGGAAATCTATTTATATGTGGATCTGTCTTGGAGCTTTTGGGACTTTATCCTTTATTTAGGTTAACTTTCTACATAGTGTGGTCTTCTGGGATTCTGAATGACCATGAGAAATATGTATTTTTTAGTGACCCCCTTATGATCCAAAAGACCGTGTCATGTCACATTTTGACATGAGTGCCTTGTTACAGAGCCCAGGAATGAAGGGGATTCTTGCCTTAGAGAGGGCAGGGTGAGATTTTAAATACTGCTGCAATTAGTTTCTGTTTGTTGCGTGATCTGGCTGGGAACATTTACAGTTGTGCTGAGCTGCAGTGTCACTCAGTGAGACTATAAGATGTTTTATCTTCCCACCATCACCAATTCTTTGACACTGACTGACATCCTGAAACAAGGAGCAGAATTGCCAGACAAGAAAGTTGCTTATTGAAACAATGAGTTTCCTGAAATAAACAGAGCAGTTTTGCATCAGCAGGCCTGTTCCCTCCCTGGAACAATGCTGGGCATTTGCATCAGCTAAATGAGGTTAGTGTTTTGCAAAGTCTTACGGAAGTCTGTGTGTCACTATGGGCACTGGCAGATAAAGCCAACACGATAATCACTGAGGTCATGGAGAAGAAAAGGGAAGGAAAGTGAGATCTGAAGCAGATATTTAAACTGCTGCGATAGTTAATGAAAATGATGTAATTGCTCCAATATTAATTTCCCTTTCCTTTGCCCTGGTATTTACCTCATAACAACTTTTTGTTATCTAGAGCTGTTGCTCATTTTCTCATACCAACAGAGTAGCTGCACTAACACCCTGAAGCTACTCCAACTGTCCTCAGAGTGGAGACAAATATCTTCAGTTTTTAAGAAGAAAGCCAAAGGCATGGCAGGGGGAGAAAAAAGGGCACAAACTGGGAGTACCTTGTTGGGTTCCTTCCAGAGACAATCCCCAAATGGAAATAGTTTTATGAAAAAAGGGTGGCGGAGACCTGATAAAACTTTTCAGTTTTGTTTCATGGCTGAGTTGTTCCTTGGTGGCTTCCAAGAAGCAGCCTTGAGTTACTTTCAAGAAGGAATAAATTCAATTTAGTTTTCTTTACTTGTCAAATAATAATGAAATTTGGTCTCCTTTTTCTTCCATTGTCTTTATTGTTGGTGGCTGCTGAATAGTGGTACATGTGCATGTGAAAAAGTATATATGTGCTCTTTGCAGATTGGTCACAGATATCCCACACTAATGGTGCTTCAGCAGAGGCCTTTGGTGGCACAGGCTTCCCATTCATGCCCTGCTCCTCCTGGCCTGTGCACACAAGCACAGACAACAACAACAACATCCTGATGTAACCTGCTGTTCTTCTGAACAGTCACACATCTCCTCTCACACATCTGAGCAGAAGTAAGAAAAAGCTCTGTGACTTATCTCCCCAAAGCTGAGAAGGGATTGTTTGCAGGTTTGTTTTCTGAACACTCCTATCTCACTCATTTCCATGACATGAGCAAAGGTTTCACCTGACAGATTTGGTGTTCGGGCTCTGGGCTGTCTTTTCCAAAGGCCAAGCACATTTGACATTGCATCCACAGCTGCAACGTCCCTCCACTGTGCCAAAGCTGGGAAATTGGTGATATTGGGTAATGTGTAAACTGTGTTAGCCGAGAGAAGTCAGCACATACAGTGTATAAACACAGTTTAAATAGTTTGATAAATCTCTGGAAATTTTTTGTTTTGTTTGTTTGTTTGGGTTTTTTTTTAATGTAAAAGGTATATGTGAGAGTTGAGAAAGTGCAACAGTGTCAGGAATTAACTTGCTATCTTCAAGAGACAATTGGCCTTAATTACCAGATCCAAAGAAATGAAGTTAATGTGATGCAACAAGGAAATGCCATGTCTCATTAGCAAAAGATGTTTTCAGTTAAATCAATGTTGTGGTGGCACAGTTGCGTGGGCTTACATGAATAAGCCCTGACCTGGAAGAAAAATCTGGTTAAAAAAAGAAAAATCTCAATCCTGAAATTCTTGCTGGAATAAATTACATTACACTGATCTAAACTGTTCCTAAGGGCAAAATTTGTGCAAGTGTCTGTGACTGAGAGGTGGTATTTGGGTAGTCTGATGGAGTTCAGGTAGTAGCAACAACTTTAAGCCCCAATTCTGTATTTCATCATTATTAAGCAGAGCATTTTGGCAAATGATTCTCTTCAGATACACACAAGAATATCTTGATGTCATTGCATGATAAAACACAAAGCTATACATAAACTCTCTTGCAGGCTGGGTAAGTATTGTTCAAAATGTACATAAATGCCTTTTCATAAATAAATAATAGTAATTAATATTTTATATATATTATGTAGTGTGGACATGATCATTGTATACTTTTATATAAGTAAATATAAATATTATTGATACTTATACAAGTATTTTAAAATATGGGAAGTTCATATTTCTTTTATGATGGAAAAACCAATGAGTGATATAAATGAATCATGTTTTGCCAAGCCATTGAATTACAAAAATGATTCCAATTTAATTATCTTTAATCTTTTGCTCTGAGCCACAGAAAGTTAATAAACTCAAAATAATGGTCATCATGTGGCTCTAGAGTTAGAGCAGAATATATATTCTATTAATTTGGTATCTTTTCTTCCTATTTAGCTGTACAGCATATGTGATTGCAAAACTGGTGCCTTCCAAACATATTGGAATAGGCTATAAAAGCAATGTGGAGAACTTTAGGCCAGTCAGCCTCACATCCTTCCCTTGGAAGGTGATGGAGCAAATTATTCTGGAAACCATTTCTAGAGCTGTGAAGGAGAAGATGATGGAGAGTAGTCACCAGGGGTTGCTGACTGGGAGAAGGAATCCTGCTGGATCCATCTGATAACCTGTGATGAGATCACTCGTTCAGAGGGTGAGGGGAGAGCAGGGGATGTTGTTTAAATTGACATTAGCCAGACTTTCCATGTCTCTCATAACATCCTCATAGGCCAGCTGATGAGGCACAGGGTAGATAGCTGCACAGGGAGGTGGTTGAAAATCTAGCTGAGTTTCCAGGATCAAAGGGTTGTGATCAGCAGAAAAGTCCAGATGGAGGCCAGGCACAGGTGATGGACCCCAGGGGCCAGCACTGCCAGTATTCTAACTTTGGGTGATAGGACAGTACACACCCTCA